GGACCCCCCTAGAGGGGTAATATCCTTCTCACCTTTTTCACCCCTGACCCGTTTTCATGCCTGATTAATACAGTACAGTACAGCTTTGAACCACTGCTGGTTTTGCTCCAGAGCCATGGCAAATCAGTAGCCTGTCTCATGACATTTCTGAGAACGTATGAAATTCTGTATAAATACTTTTAGTTGGGAATGGACATCTGTTATTGATTATTTAAACAATTGGCTCTCTGCTGTTAGTCCACTTCAGACAGCCAGACCTGAAAAACTCCAACCAACCAACCAAACACGTAAAGGGGCACACAGATGTGCTTTCAGGAGAAATGCCTCATTGGATTTTATTGCAGGATTGATTTAACCCGATGTTTGGGGAGGAAACCTTTTCACTTTTGGCTTTCAGCAATGAAATGTCATGTTTCTCTCTCATCATTTGGTGAGTATAAACAGAATGTGATCTGTAGTAAGGATGATTGATGAGAAAATCAGTTCTAGTTGTATTTTGGCCTCAGAAAGTACTTGCATCTTATCGGCTGGCAGGTATTGTTAAAAGTCATCAATCAGACTCATACAGACATATTGTAAGCTCAGCCATCAGACTGAGTTAGTTTAATATGATGTGCGGTACAGATTATGTATCATTGCTGCTGGATATGTATAGTGTCAATGAATTAGTAGTAGGGTAACACAGGTTGGGGTCAGATTTGCACTGACAAGTGTATGAATTCCCAGTGCTGTATTCTGCATTGTTTATTCGGTTCTATCTCAACGCTCCTGTTTCATCTTCAGAACATCGAGCACACACTGGACCCCAAGACGAAGAACCTGCCTTACCTGCGAAACCCCGACATCCTTGTGGGCGAAAATGACCTTACAGCACTCAGCTACCTCCACGAGCCGGCCGTGCTCCACAATCTCAAAGTCCGCTTCGTCGACTCCAAACTCATCTACACTTATTGCGGTAGGTGGCACTTCAAATGTCTAATGAAGCCCGACTTTATGTTGTTAGTGCTGTGGACTTATTATGGCATCCTCAGGAAGACAATCTGTACAGCGTATAGTACCCTCTGTCCATAAACCATCGAAAATGACATTATTTGTTTAGTTTCGAGTGGATGGTTATAGTTTATTAGTTAAGCACTGCCTTGATGTCTGACTTGACTGTGATGTTCAATAACCTCCACTGTATTTTTACTGAAAGTCAAGCATTGTTTATTGTCTCAGTTCAACATTGGAAATGCTGAAAGCGATGCCTATCAACTGTGTTTACACTCATTAATAAAACGTATCTATCATTAGCTGTAAACTGTAGTAATATTCACTTCTGTTGTACAGTAACGTGTTGTTTGCTTCATTCTAGAGCATAAATGCACACACACACTGCATGAGATGTGTTTTCATCTTGTTTTTCATTCAGTTAAATAGTCACTTTGTCCTTCCATTCACCTCTTGTGCTGTATTTTACAGTTTTGTTGTTGCTACAAATATAAAATATAGCTCATTGTACTTTAGCTATATGCACATATGCATATGCATATTTCTGCAGTCCTGCAACATCCCTCTGAAGATAATCTTCTCAACCATTTAAGTTATTGAGAACATTGTGGCCTTCAGGATCTTGTTTTCTCCTCTGCTTGCACTGCTGTGTTTTCATACACAAAACAATATGCAGTGTATACTCTAGTCCTACCTTTTAAGTTTGGAAAGAAGCGTCTCACTGTCACCTGTGTGATATACTCCCGTTGAGCTGCCGGTGGGCTCATACTTTCCCTTTGTTTTCTGTGTTGTAGGAATCGTTCTGGTGGCCATCAACCCGTATGAGACGCTGCCGATCTACGGAACAGACATCATCAATGCCTACAGTGGTCAAAATATGGGAGACATGGACCCACACATCTTTGCCGTAGCAGAGGAGGCTTACAAACAGATGGCCAGGTTTGTGTGATACCTGAGTAGCCTTGGTTCTAGTCTCCATGTTGCTCAGCCCTCCCTCTCTCTTCTGGGTTTGTAGGTCAAAGCTGAGCCAGGAATAGGCTCATGGTGGTCTCACCGTCTCTCTCTCTGTCTCTCTCTGTCTGTCTCTGTCTCTCTCTCTCTGTCTTGCCCTTTAAATCTCTCTCTCACACACACACACACACACTGCTTTTCTCTGCAGGAGCCAACCAGTAGATCTCTTTGGTCCCCCTCTGGGACACTAACATACACATGTGTACTAACAGTGCTGTATACCCAGTTTAATCAGCTCTCACACAGGGCAGTGACCCTTCAGTGCGTCCAGGGTGACATATAGTGGCACGCCTAGCATACTCCATGTGGGAGAGCAGTGTAGGTACATGCAGTGTAATCTTACAGTTTGGTAGTAAATGATGATAAACTTTATTTGTATAGCACTTTGATTAACAAAGTGTTTTATAGCAACAAATAAAAAGCAATGCGATATTTAGAATAACGATAAATTAATTAATTTATTGCTGTATATATTAATTTATTGCTGCATATATGTATTATGTTAATACTGTTCATAATGTAAATATCTTGCCAGTGTATTCCTTCATATATGTATAATGTTATTACTTTTTCTTTACATATTTCTGTACATTTGTAAATTACTTTGCACTTTACTACTTTGCACTTGTGGTTAATGCTAACTGCATTTTGTTGTTTTGTACCTGTACTTACAATGACAATAAAGTTAAATCAAATCAAATCAATTATGTAATCAAACACAGCAGATTAAAGATAATTGAAATTCAAATAAGAAAATACAATTGCACTGATGGACGATTAAAAAAGTATTTATAATTGCTTCTTTAATAAAAAGTATATAGTAAAAGCACCTAAGGAGTCAGTAAAGCAATTATATATTTTTGAGCAAGGTAACATTTAGTACTTTAAAAGTAATTCTTAGAAACACTAGTTAAGTTTGTAAAGCTCGGTTTGACAGTCTGTGTCTCAATAGGCTTCACATGTCCACAGCACTGGTTGCAGACACTGCCAGAGGTCTCAAGAACAAGGAAAACCTCTGTAAGAAAAAAATAAAAGACGTCCTGAGAAGTGAAATTCAAGCAAGGAGCTTCTCAAAGGACTAGGGATGGGATAGGAGGAGGAGAAATGCCAATTTGTGAGAGAAGAAATTATCTCAACAGGGCTACCAGCAGCATGGAGTTTACTCCAAAGAAAGGTGGCACAAGAGGAGGGGAGGCAGCATGGCCTCCGGATTCTATCTCAGTTCTAGGGATAACGAGGAGGGCTTGCTGGGATTATAAAGCATTAAAGGAACATAGAGGCTTATAAAGGTGTGTTCACACCTGCTCTGCCTGCAGGCATTGGAAATGTTTGTTGATGAAAGCATCTGACACTTTCTATCTGCCCTAGACCCAACACTCCAATTATTAGACATCAGAGTCAAGCATGGCCCTTAACCTTATCTTCATCATCACTGAATAAACTAGAAACAGGATTCTACCAAAAGCTTGTGCCGGTCAGAACTAGTCCACATGTCCTCAACCCTGTCTGTCTTATGGTCAAATTGGGATATAATTATAACGTACAGATATGTACAGTACGGTTTTCTTATGTTTTTGTTCAATCTGTCAGGGATGAGAGGAACCAGTCGATCATTGTGAGTGGGGAGTCCGGAGCAGGAAAGACGGTATCAGCCAAATACGCCATGAGATACTTTGCTACGGTCAGCGGCTCCGCCAGCGAGGCTAACGTAGAGGAGAAAGTCTTGGCTTCCAACCCCATCATGGAGGTAAGCTCTGGAGTCCGACCTTGTAGTTTCCTTCTGACAAAATATAAAAGGACTAACATGTTTTATGCTTTTTGTGAGTTATTTTATAACTCAGATATATGCATAATCACCATTTTACTTGATGCAACTTTGTGAAAGCTCTGTACTTACTGGTCAGAACACTTACATGAAATGTGTTGTGGTGTGAAAGACCGTAATTTCTCTTCAAAGTGAAAGTCTTGCATCATTTTTCCTGGCAGCTCGTGTATAGATGCTTGTTTCTTTGGCGCAGTCACTGTACAGTGTATTCCTAAGCTGAATGATATGGCCTGAATGTCATGTCGTTTGTCCTTCTCCTCTCCTCTTATCGCACTCTTTTGCTTTCTTCTCCACTGGCATTTACTTACTCCCTTCAGTTTCTCCCCCACACTGTCTTTCTGGCCTCGAGCTGCTCTCCGCTGTGATAACACAGGTTCTTCTCCTTAACTGTGTGTGTGTGTTTTGTATTTCTTCCTGTAGAGTCATAAGGACAGGAGGAGTTGGAAAGCTCTCCTGTGCCCATATGCCACTACCTCCTCCTCCTCCTCCTCCTTCTCTCCTCCACCTCCTGCCATCCCCCACCCTGTCCGTCCTTTTCCAACCACTCTGCTAACATCGCTCTCGTCCTCCCAGCCACCACTTTCACCTCGAGCCAATCAGGGCGAGCTGACAGAATGAATAGAAAGCTTTCTTTCGACGCAGTGATGTCACTTCAGCCTCTAAGCCTGGACGCAGAGTAGATGGTTGCATCAGCCTTTTCAATGTTACAAAACCTGTGTGTGTGAGAGAGAGGTAGAGTGTGTGTGCGTGTTGTGTTTATACGTGTTTGGCTGATGCAGGCACAGATTGGAATACCTGCTGAAAGAGTCCTTGTCTGCAGTGAAAGACTGCGTGTTTGGCCTTAACTCAGCAAGAACCCCCTGTGCTCACACACGATTTAACTCAGCTCAAGCCGGCGGATTGTGTAGCTTGTGTGTCTGAGTGTGTCTGTATGTAGCCCCACCCATCTACCAAATATTCCTAGTAGGGTCATTGATCAATCCTGCATATTGAACTACGGCTGCTGACTGCAGATGGTTTGTTTGTCGATGTATAGTTACTCAGTAGGAGAAGCCCATCAACATATCCAACTCCTGTCTGTGGAAGAACAGAAGTCCATAAAACAGTACTGATTTGTCAAGTGTGGACCAACCACAAATAATCTTAAGCTTATTTCATGTTGTAAGACACAATATGAGAAGTTCTGGCATACTAGTTGTAGAATCAGGTGTATAGTATTTGAGTTTTAGAGGGGTTATAACTGGACTGTGTCTTGGCCTTGAGCAGTGACTTCCTGGGAAAGAAAAGACTCCAGCAAGTTACTGCTCCTGGCCAAAAAATAGTACAGGTTTTGTTTACCATTGCACAGAATCAGACTAGCCGTTTCCCCCCCCGTTTCCAGACCTTGTGCAAAGGTAACCAGCTGCATGCGTTAGCTTCATATTTACTGCACGGACATGAGAGTGGTTTCAATCTGCAGCTCTAACTCTTGGCAAGAAAGTGAATAAGTGTATTTCCCAAAATGCTCAGGAGTCATATTAGCCCAGAGCTTCACCATAATAGCAATAACGACAGGAAAAATTGCATTTCATTCTGCAGGTGTGGTTTGTGCCCAGTAGATTTGAAGGCAAATGGCATTTAAATGAAAATGTGCTGCTGCACCATCTGCTCTATCTAAATTTACGATATCACCACAATATGTTGCATTTTCCTTTTGTTTTTCAGGCCATTGGAAATGCAAAGACCACTCGAAATGACAACAGCAGTCGCTTTGGGAAATACATTGAGATTGGCTTCGACACCCGCTTCCGTATCATCGGCGCCAACATGAGAACATATCTGCTGGAGAAATCCCGAGTGGTGTTTCAGGTGAGCGCACAATCGCACATTCAAGTTCACACTCACACAAGGTGTTTGGTTGGACTTGTGTGGATATTTAATTGACTTGCACTCATTACAGTCTATTACCCCAGCCATCACAGATACATGCACAAAGTAAATACAATTCTACATTTTATTCTGTACTGGACTTTAAAATAGACATGACACACAGCACATTAAGCTTGGGCTCATTACTAATTACTTTTGTGGAGTCTTTTCAAAGCACAGACTAAAGTCACACTGACATCGTTCTGTCCTTCAGTCATATTACCTGGTTCCTGATAGCAAATTTCGTTCCTGCTGAAGTGTCCTTGTTCCTCAACGTGTTGTTCATGAATACACAGTCCTTTTGCTGACCTTACAGGCAAAAGAGAATTTAATTTAAGTATCGTCTGTGATTTGTTATTCCTTGACATTCCTTGACATTGAAGGTGTTTTTGCTGTATGAGTCAGCACTAATGTATTTACACCATGTACTACAGCGATAATCTGGGATGGAAGGAGAACATCCAGGAGTTTGTTGGCTGGCATCAAAATGAGTGTATGGTGGCCAAAATCTATAAGTTATATTAGCTTACTGTCTGTTATGTTATACTTCCCTTTTGGAATCTTATTTGTTTGCTTTCAGACATTGTAATAAAACTGCCTTTTAAGTTATGGTAGAATTACATTTGTATTATGCATTTTGGTGTTATGTGGCTTCAACAGTCCACCTCTTCAATTGAAACCTCAAATTAAAAAGACAGACTCTCTCCCAAAATGTTAATGATAAATTACTCAACTCAAACACCTAAACAAACAGCTACAAGCAAGTTTATTAGCTTCCAGTAGTCTTACACATGACTCTCTCTAGTGTTGCCGAACACACAATACGCACACATGCACGCGCGTACAAACCGCTAATAGTTTGCCTCATGTCAGATTGTAAGGGATTAAACTTGGCTGGAGAACAAGCAGGCCAGATGCAGTATAAGAAACTTTCTTTCTCTGAATAATGAGTGAGACGTCTCATGATGGGCCTCTCAGCTACTATGTCACCAATTGTCGGGGCATACATACTGTGGCCAAGTAATTAAGACATATAGTATATAAATGCAACATTCATGTCTCTGTCTCTAATATCACTATCAAATACATGCAGAAATACTTTTAAAAATTGGATTTCTTTAGATTCTTGAGGATATTTTCCTTCTCATCCAAAAGTCCCAGATGTTTCACAACCCTACAGACTCTTTCTTCTTTTAACCTGCGTTACAACAATAATGCTAAATTGGGTCAAAACCTGTAAAACGTTCTCACTTTTGAGTATTTCCAGTTCTCTTTCTATGCTTGAAGTCCTCACAAGTATGAAGAAGTGCAGTCAGCCAGACACACACAAACAAACACACACACACAAACTCCACCAGCACTAACTGTCAGTCTGGCCCTGGTGTCCTTTAGAGCAGAAGAGGTATGCAGCAATAACTTCCTTCTTCACAAAGACAAGGAGGAAACAAAGTAAACCCCAAACCCAGCATTCAATCTATCTGTCACACTGGGTTACAGAGAGGCACTCATTTCCTCTTCCACCTCTTTCTCTCTCTCTTTGACATTCTTCCTCAAGTAACAATCCTTTTCTAATCTTTCTTTTACTATACTTTTGTCTCTCTTTACAGCCCCCACAAAGTCTCAAAGAAGCCAAATCAGTCCACACGTTTAACACATTTTTATGATCTATTAACTTTATATTTTCTGGTGTGTCCAAGTCGAATCCAGATAAGATGTACCTACTATTTCTCTTTTATAACTTCATTGTATATTCAGCGGGTGTATTTGCTCACTGGTGGAGCCAGTAGGGCAGCGTCTAGATAAAGAACAAGAATACTTAAGTCTGCTCACACATGAGTGCACACACACAGACACACACACACACACACACACACTGCTGTCATAGACAATGTTGGGGAATGAGGATGTTGGTATAAAATCGTGATCACTTTCCTCCTCACATTTTTCACATGCTTGGCTCCAGTAACGCCCTTTTATAGGTGTGTGTGTGTGTGTGTGTTTGAGTGAGTGTGTGAATACTGTGTTTGGGTGTAGGAGCACACAGTAACACAGTAGTACACAGGTACAGTTTTGTTTCCAGCCTTACTGCACACTGCTGACATCCTTTTAACATTTGACTTTCACTGGAGATAAATCAGTAGCTTCAGATGAAGCACTTCTGTCTGTATGCAGTCATTGGTCAGTTGTGTTATTTATATCCACACTGTATCAGATAGGACCTCAACATGGGTATGGGAATATTGGTTGTGTTGTGAGTGTTGGGAATAAACTTGTAATATTCTCATCTGACTAGATAATATAACATATAGCACATATGATTGTACATTTATGACAGATTCAGAAAGGGACTGAGTATGTGTAGATCAATACCATTCATGTGATGTATCTGAATGAACTGAACATGCTATAGGTGTAGCCTCACATCATATGATCTTCATGCTTTCTTCCAGGCCGACGAGGAAAGGAATTATCATATCTTCTATCAGCTCTGTGCTTCATCCCATCTGCCTGAGTTCAAGAATCTGAAGCTGAGTAAGTCTCATGCACATGTGTGTGTCCGCACACAGAGCTGCACAGTTGGCCCTAACTCTACATTTGCACTATAAGCAATTACAAAAACAGTAGCTTTAAATCTGCTCACTTTCATGCAACAGAAGGAGCCACTGGTCATTTTCATGTTTTTCAGAGCGATTCAGTGGGCTGCAGCACCCAGACAAACATTAATATTGTCTGGGCTTAAGCACTTGGCAAATATGTTAGCTACAGCAAGAATAAGCAATGAATACAGACTCACTGGTTGTAAGAGCAAACCGAAAACACTGAAAATACACATTAGAATCCATATATCAAAAACATTTCACCCCTCCACATCTCTAAAAATCTTCAAAAACCACAGTGAGGTGCCTGAAGAGCAGATATCAGATTTAATATCAGTTAAGACATATCAAACTCATTGACACTGTGGTTGAACAGGCTCTCCTACAGAGCACTCCCACTGTGGACCTGCACCTGCTCATCCTAGTCATGTGACACACACACACACACTGCTGGCACTGTCACTTACAGCCACTCTGTTGGCTCTCTCTCTCTCTCTCGCTCTCTCTCACGCACGCACACACACACAGCTGCTGTCTTTTCCTACCCTGCTGACTTCCTGGCTCAGTAAATGGAGCGGTTGTCACAGTCGTGTCAGTGCCTCTCGTTGCCAGGCAACAGACCATGCCTTAATTCAATGTAAAGTGTGTGTGTATAAAGAAACTGATTGTGGGAAAGTTGAGCTAACATCATTCTTACACAGAAGTGCTCTTGATTTCTGTCTTTTCTAAGAACCCTGAACCATCTGCAAAAAACCATAAATGGTCTCTGTCTGTCTGAGACTGTTCTCAGAATTCATTTATTCACTTGGAGAGAGTGAAGGTTCAAACTTCATTTCTCATCAAGTGCTAATAAAGAACATTTCCACCCACATTTAAAATTGAATTAACCCACTGTAAAACTTATTTCCTGTATCTTCTGGGAAACATTACAGTGTTTTATTCTCTTTAATCCATGACCGCTAAGTGAAAGCACACAAAAACCTCAGATCTGACTTTGAACTTCTCGCTATTTGTGTATACTTGGTTTAATACTCGCTATTAGAAAAAAACAGGACTGTTGCTTTGGTTAGTTGAAAAGCTACCCTGAGTACTGACCTGAGAATTATTCAACCTTTTTCAACCTTAAGTGTTATGATAATAATTATGATTTTAACAGGCAGTCCTTCCTCACTAATCAGAAACAAATAGTGTCTTTGTTTCTTAAATCAGGTACATGGTTTTACCGGTGCAGCACTGCTTAGGTAGAGGAGAATGCATTGATAGCACAGTTGTACCCAAGTTGCACATTGTAAAACTGCACATACTGCATGTTTACGAAATGAATTCACCTTCTCTGTTTCTCCACTCAGGCAGCGCAAACGACTTCTTGTATACCAGGCAGGGCCGCAGCCCCGTTATCGCCGGCGTGGACGACACCAAAGAGCTTAGCACCACTCGCAATGCCTTCACATTGCTCGGTAACATACCCACCTACACATATAAAAACGAACATGTTCACATCTGTCTGTAAAAATGTATACATTGTTACCCGGCAGTATAATGTATCTTAAGGAGAACTGTGACTGCTGGATTTACAATATTAACTGAATGAAAGTGTTAAATAATCAGGACAAATTTTATGTATATTTTTACAGCTCTTTAAAGATGGGGTTAGTTAAAGGATATGAACAAAGGTTAAGGATGGACAATGTATAGGGTCACAACTTTGATTGTTTTGTGTGTGTGTGTGTGTGTGTGTGCTTTTCCTTTGCAGGTATTAATGAGTCCTATCAGATGGGATTGTTCCAGGTTTTGGCTGCTATTCTTCATCTGGGAAATGTGGAGATAAAGGACAGAGACTCGGACAGCAGCGTCATTCCTGTGAGAATAATGTTTATACTGCAGTGCTAGTTGTCAGCAAGACATGTTTAAATGGACTGCATAATATTCACTGCATCACAGTATATCTGTAATTCAAGTTTTGTCCTCCTTTGAGTTGTGTATTTATTTAGGGAGGCAATTCCCTATCTTGTTTTTTCTGTTCTTGTGTTCTCAAACATATGTGTGTCCATTTTGGGGACAAAATGTCTTTATTTGACTTTAGCTTCCCTACTATGACACGTGAATGGTAACGATTACTGTTTATTCATCATGGAATAAACAGAAAGATCAGACAGAAAAGTAAAGCAATGATGAGTCAGTCTCCTCTTCTTCCTTGTAGCCCAACAATCGCCACCTGACGGCATTCTGCGAGTTGGTAGGCGTGACCTACCAGGACATGTCTCAGTGGCTGTGCCACAGGAAGCTGAAGACGGCCACAGAGACGTACGTCAAGCCCCTCCCCCGCCTGCAGGCCACCAACGCCCGTGACGCACTCTCCAAACATATCTACGCCAAGCTCTTCAATTGGATTGTGGAGCATGTTAACAAAGCCCTCATCACCAATGTCAAACAGCACTCCTTCATTGGGGTCCTCGACATCTACGGGTACGTCTGTGTCAGCACACGGCCAGATACTAGCCAATCTGAGCATTTAAATGTCATTCATTTGTCTGATTTGTCTGTCATTGCAGTGCACACCATAGTTAAGTACAGTAGTGAAGTAAGTTGCACAGACTATCCCACCGGTGTACCATGGTCACACATAGGAAAGTCAGTTTTAATTAGATAACTTTAGCTGAGCAAGTTAGCTCTGTAGTGAATGTTATCCAACTGTTTGACTCCAGCTTTACTCTCTCTCAAGGTTTGAGACATTTGAGATCAACAGCTTTGAGCAGTTCTGTATCAACTACGCTAATGAGAAACTCCAGCAGCAGTTCAACATGGTGAGCAGCATGTGTTTCACTTGATGGATTGCACATTATAGTTACAGATGTGAAATAGGATTTTTTATTTTTTATTTTATCGATTGATGCAAGTTTAATCACCCACCTTTGTGTGCAGCATGTGTTCAAGCTGGAGCAGGAGGAGTACATGAAGGAGCAGATCCCGTGGACTCTGATTGACTTCTACGACAATCAGCCCTGCATCAACCTCATAGAAGCCAAGATGGGCATCCTGGACCTGTTGGACGAGGAGTGCAAGGTATCGTTTTTATTTGATCCACTAAATAGTATTTCAGATAATTAATATTACATTTAGTTTTTCTGGTATTTTACCATGATTGAAAGACACTTCAGGGACAGAACAAGATTTTACTCATCTGTCACATAAAGAATATATGGACTGATAAGTCTTTTAATCTATCTGTTAACAAGAGTCTGAATTGACTCACAGGCTAAAAATGACATGAGTTACATAAGACTTGATGACTTCTGAATACTGATGGTAGAATAAAAACGTTCTCATAAATATAAACAAGTAGGCGAAATAAAGTGAGTCCATGCTGCATATTGAGCAGAGGATCGTGGGTTGTAGTGTAACAACCACGTTCTGCTTTACATTTATGTTTTGACAGTGGACCCATCAGTGCCCCCCACCACCACACACTAGAGGCGAGTCTCCAACACCTACACTTATATCTCACATCAGAGTTCACCTGCAGGAAGGAAACATTGACCACAGACATTAAAGATACTCTCTGTTCTTCTTCTTTCTTTCCAGCAAGTGCACACAATAAAACTGAATGGGATTATTTATTTATTGGAAACTGTATATGAAATATGAACAGTTATTGGTGTTAATATTCTGTGTCAACTAATCTCTCTGTGGCTCCTAACCACTGCAAGGTCATTTTACAAGCTGTTTACATTTGAGGTGGTCCACATTTCTAACATTATTGCAGAGGAACGCAAATACAAATTGGACATTTGGTTTGACATGTCTGAAACGAAAAAAGTCTTCATACACTGTTTAACCAGAAAAAATTAATCATTTGTAAGGTGTAATGCAAACAAGGTTTTCTGTCTCTAGGTGGCATTAAGCAGATGGTGTACACACGACGTTTCCCTTATGATAGTTTCCACTGTGTCTTCTCCCTTTCTGTACCAGATGCCTAAAGGTTCAGACGATTCGTGGGCTCAGAAACTCTACAACACCCACCTAAAGACCAGCTCGCTCTTCGAGAAGCCACGCATGTCCAACCGCGCCTTCATTATTAAACATTTTGCTGACAAGGTGGGTTTGACTGACCTCATGTTTGCTACATGCCTGCATAGTGTTGTAATGTTATTTCTTATTGAGCTATAAAAGTAATGACATGGCAGTTTTGTGTTTCATGTTACAAAGTGCCTTTTCAGCTTAATAGACACCAGGGACAGATTGGCTGCAGTGGCTGCTGCAGTGCTGGTGTGAGATATTTTTAGGATGGCTGGAGGACAGATAACTTTTAATTATTGTTGTCATTGTTTTTACACCAAAAGTTAAACAATCAAGTGTTTACAGTGTGTGTGTGTGTGTGTGTGTGCTGGTGTAATCCACTGTAGTGTAATAGCTTTCATATCCTGTAATGAGGTGCTGTGCTATGCAGTGTTATTTTTCATGTCTGTTTTTAGATCCTCAATATAAGGTTACAGATAAACGGGTCAAGGACTAATGCAGGCTTTCCCATGAGGGTCCCCTGATATTAAAATGGGATCCTTGAAATCGTTTCTGACCAAACATTTGCAAATATTGATGTTGATGTATTTAAAGAAACTTGCGTCAGGAGTTTGGACTGGACATAATGTCCTGTGAGGTCACTGTCAAACCACCTCAGACTGACTTAAAACGAGAAAGAGATAAAAACATTTACCTTTGAAAATGCACCCTAAACATTAGTTCACAGTTATTGTAACACACGCTATGTAATGTGCTTGTCGAGCAGGTGGAATACCAGTGTGACGGTTTCCTGGAGAAGAACAAGGACACAGTGAATGAAGAACAGATCAACGTGCTGAAGGCCAGCAAGGTGAAGAGCACAAACCCTGACATACACCTACATTACAGTATATACAGTCAGTCAGCAGAAGATGTATGTGCATTTAAATGCATTCATTTAAAACTCAGCGTAGCATAAAGCATCCACTGGCATCAAAGCCAAGAAGATTGCAGCTCATGGAGAGCTGTGACACCTGGTCTATGGTTTACTGACCAAGTCCCATCTAAAGGCTTAGGGAAGCAGCGCCCTCCACTGGCCATGTGGAGATAGTGTTGACACCGGCAGTAAGGACAAATGCTCCATCTATGCTCCAGATTTATGAGAGGTTTAGGTTTTATTTACACATAACACTGTCTTATGAACACACACACATTAAGTTGGCCCAGACATAACCTACAGAGGATGAATATGATTGTGTTTCATAAATATTTCACTACATATTTAGCTTGTCCTAGTATATATTTAATGACTTGCAGAAAAACATTAGTCTATTTAGGCTTGTGTTTTTTTTTTTATTTATGCAGAGTTATGTAATAAATGTATGAATTCATATGACAAATGAACATATCTTTATGCAGCAGGACATTGAACACAAAATAATCTTTTACAGCGTCATTTACCAGTTCATCCACCTCCTCAGTTGTTTCAAATATTTTCAGTCTTTAAGGGTTGATGTCACTGTTTTTCTAATAACCATTATTTAATTTGGGAACAAAATGCCATTGAACTGGAAAACTGCCCTCTACACACACATACAATATGTGCTATTAAGCCTAAATTAGTCAGATTACGTCCAAATTAACTGTGTGTGTGTGTGTGTGTGTGTGTGTGTGTCGTGGTTCAGGATCAGTGTGTAAAACCTGGTTAGGTCAAAAGGGCTCTAAGCTTTTAAATCCTTACTGCCCTTTTGGCTCCACACACACACACACACACAGACACACACACATAGACTATAATGTAGTGTGTTTCTCCAAAGTGCTCACAGTGACCTTTGACTGTTCTCTTGTAGACTTCAACAAGAACAGAAATGGGTAAGGGTTGAAATACTGTCTGCTCTAACCTCTAACATGGTCACTTAACACACACACACACACA